GGCGGTAGCGCACGTGGCAACCCCCCGCGTTTCCTGGCCTCCCATCCACCGGACCCCGTCCTGCGCTTCACTTTGTTTAGGGAGGGGCTGCTCACTGCTCATTGCTCATTGCTCATCGCACACTGCTCAACGCTCATTGCCCTATATCCCACCCAGCCGCAGGACTCCACTGCCGCCCGCGCCCCGCCCCATCTGGCCGCTTGCGCGCCCCATCCCCCCTCGATGGGGCCCGCCCACACCGGGGCCTCCCCCCTCCCGCCCACTGCTTTCTCAACGGCCCCGAGCCGGGGCTGCCCTCATTGCATACATAGTGCGCCTTTCCCTGCTTTTCTAGTGACCTAGCGTTCCGCACTGCCGTTTGGCCAGCCCATGCTCCCGTACCGTTGCGTTTCTCCCCAATGCGCCATGCCACTTTGCCAGTCATACACACGTTTCGATGCGTGCCCTGTCAGCTGCTTGCGTTGCATGTCGCCTTGCTCCACCCCTGTTTTATTGCTTTCTCTGCTTTCGCCCGGTTCCCGTCCCGTTTCGGCGGGGAGTCTATGTTGCAAGCTAGTTCTTGCTTTACCAGACTTTAAGCCCACACAAGCAAGCATCAAGCCCCCCCGCCCAGCCCGTGCGACCGTGACGCCGAGATATTGCCTGCACTGTACTGAGCATGCAGTAGATGCCTGGGCCCAGTCCCGTCCCTCCCTGTTTCTTCTATCTCCTCCGCGATCATCCCCCCCAACAATGCCAAGTGCAACTAATGAATGATTTGTTCGTGATTCCTCCCCGCCCACTGCCGTGCCCTGCCCACTAATCGTGCCCTGCCCACTGAAATTGATGCATGGATGCATCCTCGGATCCGTCTGTTCTACATATCCTGTGTAACTAGAGCTAGTATTTATCCGAGAGGAAAGGTGAACACCATCAAGAGTCTGAAGTCGGCATTGCAGGCAGCCTGGGCGGGCAGCGCCCGCTGGGCCGTCGCCGCCGCGGTGCCCCCGCTGAACATGCTGCGAGGGGTCCCTCGCCTACATCAACCTGCCAGCCAGAGCACAAGGTACTCGCCTATTTGGCACAACTGCTGTGAACAGTGTGTAAACCCTTGCTGTCAGTCGGAACAGATGTGGGCCGCCCCCTGCTGCCCGCTTCTTCGCCGTCCCTCGCTCCCACTTACTAATCGGCCCGCAGCACCTAAGGCGCGCCGCCCCAGCCCCAGGCTGGAGGCCGTTGGTGCAACGGCGCCCGGCGGTGGCGACGGTGGCGGGGCCCCGCAGCGGCGCCCCGACCGGAGCCCTCCGAGCTTGATACAGCCGGTGAGTCAGGCTCCTGCAGTGTGACCTGCTGGGCCTGCCTATGCTGCTGCATGCTGCGGCATTGAGTGCGCGCCGGCAGCGCTCGTCTCCCACTGGTGGCGGCAGCGCTCGTCCCCCACCGCCCACCACCCCTCCATCCGCCCCCTAAAATGCATGCCATGCAGGGCACGCTGTACCCATGGTGGCCATGGTTCCTTGCACCGCGCCCAGCGCCCAGCTGGCAGTAGGATGATGTGGAGGCGCAGGTTCGTCACAAAATTTACATCGAGCAGATCAGGCAAAGGAGGGAGGAGAGCCGGCGAGATGCTGAGCAGTTTCATAAAAACATGGCGGAAATCAAGCGGTTACTGGAGGAGCAACATCGCCACCGCCAAGCCGCGCCACGCGCACCCCGCCTGCCACCAGCCCTGCCCCGCCGCCCCCGCCCCCTAAGGGCCCCTGGCCACCCGCGCCCCAGGCGCCTGCTCAAGCGACCGCCCACGCTCGGGCTGCCGCAGCCGAGGCTTCTGCGGCTGCCGCCGTGGCCTGGGCCGCAGCAGCTGCGGGGCACGAGGCAGCCGCCGAAGCCGCCACCCAGCACGCTGCCGCCCAGCCGGCGGTGCAGCAGGCCGACGCTGCGGCAGAGTGGGCGCGCGCCGCGGCCGCCTGGCGCGAGGCGCACGACGCCCTGGACGTGGCGTTGCAGGCAGACCCGAAGTCAGAGGCGGTGCAGCAGGCAGCGGTGGAGGCGTCCCGTGGCTTCAAGCGCCAGCGCCGCGGCCTGCAGGGCTGATGCCGCAGCTTCAGATCGCACCCCCAAACTCCCCGCCTGGCACTTGACCGATGTTGCCTGCCTCGGTGCCGCGTCATGAGTGATGGTTCACTCAGAATAAGTTGAAAACGAGGATGGTTTGTGCATGTGTCCACATGTAAACCTAATGCACTAAACACAGCGGGCTTGCGGCAGCTGTCTAGTCTTTCTTTCCAATCGCCTCCAGCAGCGCCGCTTTGCCTGCTTTGGGATCAGCGATGTCAACAGTGTCTGTGCCGTCTTGCTGCATGCTGCCATTGGGCGGGCCCCCGCCGCCATGAGCCGGGGCGTTGCCGGACGCCGTGCCCGCGGAACCAAACTGCAGCTCTCGCCGCAGCGCTTGCTCCATGGCGAGAGTGTGCTGGGGGCGGGGTGGGGGGCTGCCCTGCCCCGCATGCAGTGCCTCCTCCTCTTCCGGATCTTCCAGATCGAAGTCCAGCTCCCGCTGCAGGGCCTGCCAGTGGGGACAGTACAGCAGCCAAGAGTGAGGCGTCGCGGCGGGCCCGAAAAGTGGGACCCGCAGCGGGAGGCGTGGGACAGGGCAGCACATCTCCAGCACAGGGCACAGCACACGACCTTGGGCGAGGCAACCGGTTGCTCACCTCCTGCTGCGCCTCCCACAGCGCGTGCCTCGTCTTCTCGTCGTCCTCGCCCGCCGCATTGACCCCGAAGAAGCCAGCCAGCACCACGGCGCCGCCCACCAGCGTCAGCACCGTGCTGCCCGCATGGCTCAGCCAGGCGGGGCTGCGCAGCACGGCATCCAGCACCACAGCCAGGGGCACCTGCAGCGCCAGGCCCGAGGTGGCGACGGTGGGGCCTGCAGGGGGGGAGCGCGGCAGCGTGGCGCCACGCACCAGGCATCAGGCTCCCAGCAAGGGCTTGCATCCCGCCATCCCACAACCACCCCAGCGCCGCCCCATCGCTTTGAGCATCAGCAGGTGGGTGGCCGTGCATGCCGATCTACCGTACCCCAGCTGCCAAGCCTATGCCGCCACCGCCCACCAGGATCTGTGTGTCCCAGCCCAGGCCCGCCAGGCGCCTGCCGCGGCGGTGTGCACCCACCCACGAGCAGGATGGCGCGGGCCCACAGATAGTCGGACAGCACATTGTCCAGCAGCCCCTTGGCCACCATCAGCCCCAGCACGCGCCAAGTCATCGTGCCCAGCCCCACGCCGGCCAGCCTACAGGCACGGCCAGGGCGCGGCGCCGGAAAGGCAGCGAGGAGTCGGCGCCGAAGAGGGCGGAAGCCGCAGGGCGGCAGCACCCCCACCGCGTCCCCGCCATCGGGGGCAGCCCGGGCCAGCGCCCGCCTATCCGCACAGAGCGGTCTGCGGCAGGACTGGCGCGGGGGCGGCGATGTGCTCACCAGAGGATGAGCAGCAGGGGCCCCACGGAGAGGAAGATGAGGAGGCCCATGAAGCCAAAGAACATCGTCATGGGAGTGTCATCGTCCTCACGCAGCAGCTTCCTGCGGGCACCAGGCGACAGCAGAGGCAAAGGGGACTCTGGGCAGCGCAGCGATGCGCGAGCAGCGCAGGCTGGCAGGGTCGGCCCACCCCTCAAGGCTCCCGTCGTGCTGGGCCCAGCGTTTTCAGCAGCCTCCAGGGAGTGTGCAGCCAGTGCAGTGGCGTGCAGGTAGGGCAAGCCCCTACTCTCTCCTTTCGCTTCACACCTGATGGAGACTGTGTATGCTCCGTAGACCACAGCAGACAGCAGGCACAGCATGTCGCCCGCCACGCTCTGCTCCGCTGCCGACTTGTCCTTGCTGTACTCGCCGTCGGCCAGCGTCACCATGGCGGTGCCTGGAGAGCAGTTGGAGGGGAGGGCAGGGCTGGAAAGTTCCACCTGGCAAATCCAGCCGGCCAGCCAGCAAGCAACCAAGGCAAGAGAGTGCCCGCTGTGCTGGGAGCTTGGAGGCTGGCAGGGTCGTGCCTCTCAGTGAGAAGCTCATCACCAGGGCTGCACGCCCTTGGGCAGGCGGGCCGGCTTGCAGGCACCAAGGCGCGCTCGCCGGAGGCCACGCACCGACAATGAGCAGCAGGATGAAGCCCAGCTTCCACAGCGTGAATGCCTCGGCCAGCAGGGCGATGGCAAAGAGGAAGGTGAAGAGGGCGGAGGTGGAGGAGAGGATGGTGTTGGATGTGACCGAGGTCTTAGACAGCGACACGTTGAATGTGAACTGCGCAACATACCACAGCGGGGCCACCTGCACACAGACAGGCGGCAGGAGAGAGGCACATAAGACAGGGAGGCGGCGCACGTCGGCAGCAGCAGCGGCAGCCTAAAGAACACAGCAGGGACTGGCAACCAGCCCCGGCCAAGCAGCATGTGTGACCGAGCCAGCCTCCAATTGCACGGCCCACGCGCCCGCCGCACTCACGACGAGAGCGGCGCGGAAGAGCTGCTTGAGGGGCATGGGCGGCGCGGCGGCCGCCGCCTTGCCGTTGTGGCTGTCCTCCTGCACCAGCGGCGTCGGCACGCCGTCGCCCTCCTCGTCGCTGCGCGGCGCCGCGGCCGACACCAGCGCCCGGCTCTCCTGCTGGTGCGCCTCCGCGGCGGCCGCCTGCCGCCGCCGCCTCCAGCGCAGGTTCAAGAAGTAGATGGGGACGTAGACGGCAAAGAGGCTGTTGGCCACCAGGGTCAGCACCGCCGGGTGCGCGCCGTGCTCCTCGATGCCTTGCACCACAAAGCTGGCAACCACCCAGATGACGGCCACAGCGAGGATGAAGCCCAGCCCCACCAGCTTCTTGCGGTCGCCCAGCGGCAGCACGCGCGCCCAAAACGACGGCTGCGGCTGCGGGCTCTCCATTGGCGGCTGCAGGCGAGTGGCGGGTGGCGACGGCGGGTTGGCTGCAGGGGCGGGAAGCCCAGCGCCGGGTCAGGCGGCCTGCTGCCCGATCTACTGAGGCGAGTGAGGTGCGGCTTGGGCCCCAGGCACGGGCGCTGGAGCGCGGCCGAGTTTTGAGCTGAGCGCCTCGAGCGGGAGGGGGTTCAGAGGCTTCAGAGGCAGCCCTGAGCGTGCAAGGAGCGTGAAGAACAGACGTAAGAACGGGAAACAGCGCTCGCCCAGGTGGTTACGCGGCGCCTTGCGTTTTTCCAACTCCAATCGTGTTTGCTGTGCAATCCGAGCATAGATCATTGCACATTGTCATGGACTTACACACCCGGCACTGCTTTCCGCCGGTGAGGGCGCCGCCGGCGGTGTGCTTGCCCGCCTCCCCCCTGGCCCTCCCCTAAGTCTGCAGGTCTGCCGCTCTCACCTGTAGTCCTAGCTGCTGATGGCATTTCGATAGCAGGGTCTGTGCTGCCTGCAGCTGGCCCACACCTGCAGGGCGGTGCGGCGGGAGGTGCTGGCGGCGTGGACACAGGTTAAAGCCTCCAAGCAAGTGCTGGCACTGGTTGTGGCCTCCGCAGACTATGAGCTACTGCTTCTCAATGCCCTGAACATGGGCTTGCATGGAAGCCGGAACAGCGGCTGCCTGAGCCTGCGGCACGAGCGTGGGCGGCTGCTGTGCGTGCACGGCCGGTGCCGCGGGCGCCGGCGGGCGCTGCATAGAGGCAGCAGCGGTCCTGGGGGCTTAGGTCTCAGTAATTACAGCGAAGAACAAGAACAAGTGCCAAGGGGGAAAGCTACAGGGAGGGAACAGCATGTACACACGGGGCGGCATGCGCAGCAAGAGGGCCGCAACCGGCACCGGACGCCGCCGGCTGCTCCGCCTGCGTCGCTGCTCAGCGGCGCTTGAGCATCTCAAACCGCTTGGTCAGCTCATCCAGCTCGTCCTGGTCGCTGGGCGGCGGCGGCGGCGGCGGCCCCGCACCCGGCACGCTGGGCAGCCCAGCGATGTCCAGGTCCGGGGCGGCGCCGGCGGCGGCACCGCCTGGGGCTGGGGCTGGCGGCGGCGGCGGCACAGAGGGCGGCGCAGAGGGCGGCGCAGAGGGCGGCGCGGAGGGCGGCCCGCCAGCCCTGACCTCGCCCTTGCTGGGCGGGCCGGGGGCGGCGTCATACGCGCGCTGCACCTCGCTGGGGGTGCGCGCCACGTAGCCGCCGCCCGGGCTGCCGCCGCCGGGGCTGCCGGGCCCCGTGCCGCCGCCGCCGCCGCCCCCTGGGCTGCCGGGCGCGGTGCTGCCGGCGGCGCCGCCGCCGCCCCGCGCCGCGTCGGCCTGGCTAGTGGCAAACTCCTCGGCACGCTGCGCCGCCTGCTGCGCCATCTGGCTGTACCGCTTGGCCGCCTCGGCGGCGGCGCTGGCGTCGGCATACGATCCCATGGGAGTGGCGGGCTTGGTGCCGCCTGGTGTGGGGGTGCTGGTGCCGCTGGACTGGGCTGTGCCTGCGGGCAGCATGAAGCCCGCGGCGGGCGGCGGCACCGGCACCGGCGCCGCCGCGGTGGCGGGCGGCGGGTACGCCTCGCTGCCGCCGCGCTGCGAGGCGTCGGGGCTGCCGGCCGGGCTGGCGCCGTGCAGGCGGGTCTGGCGCCAGGCGGCCGTGGCGCCCACGTGGCTCTGGAAAGCGCGGCCGTGCCTGTCAATGTCCTCAGGCTGAGGAGGGCTCCAGGCAGGGGTGGGGCCGCCGCTGGGCGTGGCAGTGGCGCCAGGCACGCCCTCGGCCCCTGGCCGCACCACCACGCTGCCTCCCGACAGCACGCGGCTGACGTGGGCGGCCGCGGCGGCACCGGCCGCGCCGCCCGCCGCCGCGCCCGCGCCCGGCGGCTGCCACCCCTGCTGCTGCTCCGCGGCCGGCGGCGCGCCCGCCGACGGCGGCGGCATCCAGCCGTGCGCCAGCGGCAGCCGCCCCTGCGGCACCCCCGCGCCGCCGGGCGCCAGCGGCTCTGCAACATAGGTGGGCGCCACCGCCAGCGGCTTGCCCGCGGCAGGCAGCATGTCCAGCGCCGCCGCATCCTTGTCAAACTCCACGCCGTGCTCCGCGGCAATGTCCTCCAGAAACTGCGCAGGGGCCGGGGAGGAGGGGAGGGGGCACGTGAGGAGGGCCGCGGGGGGCAGCGGGGCAGGAGCAGGGGTGGGCAGGGCAGGCCGCGGCGATGGTGCGACCCGCAGCAGCCGCTCAACCATCCCGCCGTCTGCTGCCTCCACATCGCCCTCGCTCTGCTCCTGCCTCCTTGACGTCCCCTTCACCACACCACGCACATCACCACGCACATCACCACACACGCACACATGCTTCACCACGAGCAAACACACACACACACAACACCACGAGCACACGCTCCAACGCGCGCCACCCCGCTCACCGCCAACTTCTCCTCGGGCATGGGCGCCGACACCGCCAGGCACGTGACCAGCGTGTCGTTCACCTGCCACTTGCGGCACGTCAGGTCAGACACCACCTCATCCGGGAACCCAGCTGCCTTGTACACCCCGCTGCAGCAGCCAGGGCAAGGGGGACAGGCGGCAGGCAAGCAGGCCAGGGGAGGCGGGGGTCAGGCGGCCCGCGCAGCGGCGACGGCAGAGCCCAGGCCTCTCAGCTGCGAGCCGGCCCCGCGGGCGGCGCGCGCTGCGGCCGCTCGCGGCAGCGGCGAGGCAGGCCACACGCGCTACGCAGGCCAGCCAGGCTGGCAAGCACCGTCACACAGACACAGGCAGACACCCATACACAAGACGGGCAGACAGACACATATACATACACATACACACCACACGCACTTGTACTTGGAGACCAGCATCTTGGCCACCACCGCCACCTCAGCCAGGTCGGTGGCCACACGCTCCCCCGCATAGATCAGGCTGCTGATGGCCTGCGGGCACGGGGGCGACAATAGGGGTGAGCAGCAGCGGGGAGGCTCACAGCAGGTCCAGCAGGCACGCTCCCGTCCCCTGCCCGCAGCGGCACCGTCCAGCGAGGCCCCTCCACAGCCCCTTGCAGCCGCCAGCCTGCTGCACCGGGCGCCCAGGCTGCGCCGCCGCTGCCGCCGCCGCTGCCGCCGCCGCCTCACCTCGATCATGTCTGGCGGGATGTCCCGTGTCTTGGCCAGCAGCTCAGCGCGCACCGCCAGCAGCTCCAGGTACAGCTCCAATATCTCGAATGCCTGCAGCATGCGATGCTCGCGCATCACCGCCTCCACCCTGCAGGGGAGGCAGGGAGAAGGGAGGGAGGGGAGGGGCGGCGTTGACGGGCAGCCGACAATATGCGGAGCCACAAAGTGCCACAGTGTGCTTGGACCGGCCCGCATGCCGCAGCACAGGATTGAGGAGCAGCTCCTGGCCGCTGACCTAATGCGCGCGTTGCCCTGCTTGTTCTGCTTCAGCAGCTCCGCCACCTCCTTGCGCAGCCCCTTCATCTGCAACAGGTGATTTCACAACAGGCAGGCAGGGCACCAAGCTTCACCACTCTGGCCAGCACAACCCCGCGCAGGCATGCATTGTTTTGCGGCGGCACAGTGCCACAGGCACGCACCGCCACCAGCTTTTTGTTGCGCAGCAGCTTGATGCGGCCCACGCCCAGCCTGCAATGCGTCTTGCTGCAGCAGGTGTGGCAGTCGAGCGGCTCTCAACAAGGTGCCCGCCCTTGGCGGCAGGGTGGGCCCGCCCGCCGCTGCCAAGGCAGCTCCCTCTTCTGGTCACTCGGCGCTGCCATGCATCCGCTGGCGCAGGCGCATGCCGGTGCTGTGGAGCGCCACACAGGCGCAGAAGGAAACGGGCCAGGCCGGGCGCGGTAGCCTGACCCGCTGCAAGGCAGCGCAGTGCCCGCACCATTTGCTCGGGTTCAGACCAAACAGCTGCATGATGTCTCTGGGGCCCGTCAGGCAGCCGGTTCTCTCTCCTCCACCGAGCCGAACACCGAGAGTTGTCGGGTGAGCCTTTCCTGCTGTCGGCAGGTGTGTACGCCGGACCACAGCACGATGGAGGCCCGCAGACAGGCCCAATCGTCAGCCCTGAGGGCGGTGCCACGGCGACGCGCCAGGAAGCCACCGGGAATGGTTAACAGCCCTTTGGTCGGCCAATTTCACATCGGGAATTGTGGGCATTGTGATGATGACCGCAGTGAACTGATTCAGCGCGCTGACAGCCTGCAGGACACCTGCGGGCCTTCTGCTCGCGGGGCCTTGGGACGCAGCAGGACTGAGAGATTTCAGATGCGCTGGGTGCATGGGTAAGAAGCCCAAGCAGCAGCAGAAGCAGCACCCAGCACCGGCGACGGCGAGCGTCGCCGCCGCCACCGCCGCCCCGCCTGCTGGACTCCCGACCTTCATCACTCCAACGGGCCCTGCCTCGTGCCGAATTGGTGTGCATGCCAAGCCCGGCAGCAAGGTGGGTTCCCCGCCAGTTGTGGTGTGCAGGTTGCAGGATAAGCACAGGGCAGTCTGGCGCCTTGTTGTTGCACCTGCACCAGTGCGGGCTGCAAGGCATCGCTACACCTGCATTTTGAGTGTCTGTTGCACGCATCTGCTTCCCAGGTGTGTAGCGTAACGCTAGGGCCCGATGCGCTGGAGGTGGCGGTGGATGCGAAGCCTGTGGACGGGGAGGCGAATGCCGCACTCATCGAGTTTGTCGCTGAGGTGCTAGGCCTCAAGCGGCGGGACGTGACGCTGGCCAGCGGCACCACATCCAGGCACAAGGTGCTGGCGGTCGCGGGGATCGACGCCCACGCGGCGCTGCAGCGGCTGCGCCAGGCCTAGCTCGCGACTGTACTGTTACACTGAACAGCGCTGCACGTCGCCTGTATGTTTTCTGCAGAATTGTTACTTGAATGAACTGATGAACTGGTAGATTGCGTTTTCACACATATTTGTCCTTTGTCTTCACCATTTTGTTTTGCAATTATGTTGTGGAGTCGTTCCCGCTACTCACCGCTTGCGCCACGCTGGCGGCTGACGTGGCCCGACACGGACATGCATGCATGAGAGCGCAGCTCCAGATGCATTCTTTTCGTCTGCCCAGGGCGGCCAAACACGCCGCACGCTGCAAGCAGGTGCATGCTTGCAAAGCAAGGGCATCGGAGGCTGTCGGCACACAAAGGCGCCCGGGGCCGACCAGTTTTGCGGCCGCGGCATGTCGGAGGGCGTGAGGGAGTGCACTGTTACGACATGCCTGGAGCTGGAGCGTGACGACCTGGGCCTGTACGCAATTGGCACAACCTGCGTGCTGCACACGCGAGTGTTTGAGGACATAGGACTTGTATGGTGCGTTAGGTGCTGGCGGAAGGGCCGGTGCCGGGCAGGGTATGCACCAGCGTCTGTGGGCGGGCACTTCCGCTTGGCGGGCGGGGGCTGCTGCTGTCTTTTGCTCTGAAGCCCACCTGCTGCACTTTCACACAGCTGAACTTGGGCCTCCGGCATGGCGGCTGTGCAGGGGCCACAAGCGGCGGCGTGGCGGCGAGAAGAGCCGTGGCACCGCGGCGCAGCACCTGGGCGGGTGGCTAGATGATGAGGAGGATGAGTTTGAGGTGGATGAAGCGGAGTTGGCAGCGCTGCAAGCGCTGGGGCTCCCCGCCGGATTTGGAACTAGCAAGGTGGGTGGGTTGGGCGAGCAGGGCAGCATCCCAGCAGCGTGCTGCATTCATGATGCCCACAGCAGCGTCTGTACCATGGCTTAGGCCCCAAGCAACCCTTTGGTCAAGCTGTTTAGCAGGCTTTGTGGAGCGCCAAAGCGCTGCTGGCTGCTGCTATGTGCAGACCAGGCGGCCCCACGAGTTTGACGGCGATTTTGGTGGCGCCATTGCCGCGCCAGCAGCCGCCACGTCAGCAACTGCGGAAGCAGATGACGCGGTGACTGCGGTGGCCGCCCACACCCAAGGCCAGGGAGCCGCAGCCGCCCAGCCCTGGACCCCCATCGTCACCGCCGCCGCGGTCGCCGGGAACGACGGAAGCTGCAGCAGCAGCCCGCCGCTGGCCGACGGCGGTGCAGTCACCGGCGGGCCGCCTGGCGATGTCGCCATGGTGTCACTGGAGCGGCTGGCGTGGCAGGCGGCGGCGGCGGGGCAGGGCCGGGTGGAGCCCGCCAGCCCCTGGCAGCAGGCCTGGGATGCGGGCACCGGCCACTTCTATTACTACCATGAGGCGGCTCAGCTGACACAGGTGCGGCCTTCTGCTCCCCCTTCCGGCTACATGTTGAATGATGGATGCATGGGTGTTGTGTGTGGGATGGGTGGCTGTCGCCGTGCCTGTGGTGTGGGTGCTGGCCTTCACAGGGACGCCCCTGGCTGCCCACGCGTGTGTGCAGTGGGAGCCGCCGGCCGAGGGCTTCTGCCCCGCGCCGTTTGAGTGGTCGGCGTCGGCGGCAGCAGCCGCAGCGGCGGCAGCCATGGCAGCACACCACCACCACCACCACCACCACCAGCAAATGCATCACCACCACGCCCATGACGGCCACCACCACCGCGGCCACCACCACCAGCTGCACGAGCAGGCAGCGGCACAGCAGCAGCAGCAGGGCTGGGTGTCTGCTGCAGACCTGGAGCAGCACTTGGTCCACCAGGCCGCCTCACAGAAGCAGCTGGCTCAGGAGCAGCAGGAGCACGTGCTGAAAGCGGTGGTGAGTGTGGCAGACCTGGAAGCCCAGCTGCTGGCAGCGGCAGGCGGTGGCGCAGCCGCCTCAGGGACGGCAGTGGCGGCAGCAGATGCCAGCGCTGATGCGAGCGAGGCAGCGGAGCTTGAGGGAGCACCTCCCAAGACCGGCGTGCAACCAGCGGTGGATGGCGAGGCGGCGCCGCCGCCGCCGCCATCAGTGCCAGCACCGGAGCAGCAGCAGGAGGGGCAGCCATCCTACGGGGCAGCAGGGATGGAGCTGGAGCAGCAGCAGCAGCAGGTCTCGCAGCAGGCGAATGGCACCAGCAGCGCTGGCGGGGCCCACGTGCTGCGGGGCGTGGAGCCGCCACAGCGATCCCACATCCGCTTTGAGAGTGACAGCGAGGAGGAGCCCCGTGCAGAGGAGGAGCAGGGGCAGGGGCAGCAGCAGCAGCAGCAGCAGGGGCAGGAGCAGCCAGGTGTGGGTGCATGCTCCGGCCCTGCAGCGGGTGCCGCAGAGGCGCAGGTGGAGCAGCTTGCGGCAGACATGCGGCACATGATGGCTGTGAGCCCTGCTGCCGCCGGTGGCTTGGAGGCTGCTGAGGTGGAGGCAGGGGCAGGTGAGGGAGATGAGGAGCACCTGGATAGGCAGAGGGGTGCAGCGGGCGATGCCGAGGAGCAGCTCGATCAGCAGCACAAGAAGAAGAGCCGGAAGAAGAAGAAGAAGGGGCAGCAGGACAAGGCGCCGCAGCAGGCGGGGGAGGGCAGCGGCGGCGGCGGGCGGCGGCCGGTGCACCTGCCTGCCGCCATGGACTGGAAGCTAGAGAAGTACTGGCTTCAGCGGTACAGCCTGTTCTCCAGGTGGGGGCATGGCTGGCTTGCTGGGACGGGCAGGCGTCAGCCGGCGGCCATGCTGCCCCGGCTGCCGGCCCACGTGCGTGCGTGCAGTGCCCCATGCGCGCGACCCGCAGCCACCGGTGTTCTCCAGAGAGCATCCACGCCTGCGCCCGCTTCCCCTGCATTGCTGCCCCCAGGTTTGACGAGGGCATTCAAGTGGACGACCAGGGCTGGTACTCTGTCACGCCAGAGGTCATCGCCGCGCACCACGCACGGCGCGCAGGCAAGCTGCGCTCATTGCAGCCGCCTGGCGCGCCAAGCCGAATGCCGATCAGTGGTATGAGGTACCTACCTACCTGCCTGCCTGCCTGCCTACCTGCCTGTGCGCCTGCCTGGCTGCAGTTGAGGCGCTGGGGCCTGACTGCGTGGCGTGCGACCCATTTGCCGGCGCCGGCGGCAATGTGATCCAGGTTTGAAGGGTGGGGGAGGCTGGTTGGTGGATGCTGTGCCTGCCGGGCCCGCCTGCTCTGCACCTGTTACCACCTCTCCCATGCCCACCCCAAATCCCTCCCCTTCCCTTGCCCACTATGAGTGTGAGTTATGAACTCCACTCCCTCCCTGCGCCGCCCCACCCCGCCCCGCCCCGCAGTTTGCGCTGCACTGCGCGCGTGTGGTGGCCGTCGAGATTGACGAGGGGCGCATGGGCATGCTGCGCAACAACGCGGGGGTGTATGGCGTGGCGGGCAACACCACCTTCATCCGGGGAGACTTCTTCCAGGAGGTGCAGGGCATCAAGGTGGGGCAGGTGGAGTGGTGGCGGTGTGGGTGGTGTTGGTGTTGGTGTTGGTGTGGGTGTGGGTGTGGGTGTGGGTGGGGTTGGCTGCCAGGAGTTGGGAGGGCATCCGCGCTGGTGCGCTCCCGCGGCAGCCCTGCTGCGTGCTGAGCCAGCTCCTCCCCTGTCCCGCCCGCGCAGGCGGACGTCGTCTTCTACTCCCCGCCCTGGGGCGGCCCCGAGTATGCCCAGCAGCCTGTGTACGATGTGGCGCTGATGGGCGGCCAGGGCTTTGGCCTGAAAAAGGTGGGGTGGGTGGTCAGCAAGTGATGCTCATTGGCAGGGTAGCATGGCTCGCCAGCGCTCCATGGGAGGGGCGTTGAGTCGCCTGTGGTGCAGCCCACACTCGTGCCCTGACCCCACTCTGTAACCAGCCACTGCCCATCACTCGCCTCCTTGCCTGCTCCTGACCCCCTCCTCTCCGCCTGCCTGCGCATGCAGCTGCTGGACCTTGCGTTTGGGCCCATGGGTGCCAGTGCCGCCATTGCCTTCCTGCCCCGCAACTGCGACCTCAAGCAGCTGGCTGCCACGCTGCCAGAGGGGCACTCCTACTGCGAGGTGCGCTGGGTGCGGCGTGTGGGTGGGGTGGGGTGGGAGTGCGGGGTCGGGGGTGGGACCATTGGGGGTAAGGAGGCACGCTGCAGCTGGCATAAAGCACGGTGCGGTACTGCTGCAGCCTCTCGGCAGGCGAGCCAGGCGCCTGCCGACGTGCCGGCGGCTGCCTGGTGACGTGCAGGTGGAGCGCGAGATGGTGAACAATGTGTGCAAGGGGCTGACCATCTACTATGGCGAACTGGCCCGCAGCCCCACACAGCTGCGCCAGCAGGAGCAGCAGCAGAGCCATGGGCAGGAGGAGGTGGAGGTGGCAGCGATGGTGGTGGCGGAGAATGGTGTGGTGGCGGCGGGAGCTGCCAGGCCTGAAGCAGAGCAAGGGGCGGAGCAACAGGAGCATGAGGTGCAGCAGGGGCATGGCGCAGAGCTGGCTGGGCAGCAGGCGGCGGGGGCTGAGGCGGCCAGTCGGCCCACTGCCGAGCTGCAGGAGGAGCAGCAACAGCTGCAGGAGGCGGTGGCACAGGTGGTGCAACAGCAGGGCCAGCAACCCGCTGCAATAGAGCCTGCCCCACCGCAGGCGGAGCAGCAGCCATTGCAAGCGGCCGCAGCCAAGCCACTGCATCCTGCCGCGGCAGAGCAGCAGCCAGCAGCAGCAGCAGAGCACGAAACGGAACCAGCCACAGAAGCTGCTGCGGAACAGAAGAAGCGGCCAGGAGGATGTCGACAGCAATAAGCTCGCCCACACTTCTGCTGACCGCCAATTAGTTGAAAATCCCGACCTTGCTGATGAATTGCATGCGCACAGTGTTTGGCAGGGATCAGGGTGTTCTCTGAAAGCATTGTAGAAAATTGCAGCAAAAAGCCTGGATCCAAGCACGGTGGTACAGGTACTGATACATGTGTGCAAGCAGAGGCAAAAGGTGGCGACCAGTGCAGGCGGAGAGCATGCCAGCAGCCTGCCAGGTGATCAATTGCCATGTGGCACGACATACACATTCCCTCTGTCCACCAGCATGTCGCTGGGCCCCGCCACCTTTGCCCGACAGCTGCAATTCTGCAGCGCACGAGCATGAGAGGGCGAGACAAAAGTGCGGCTCAGGCAGCTGCTGGATGTCTGCAGAGTGCATCATCCAGGGAGCAGGCCTAAACCACCACACAGGCCAAACCACCACACACCACCCCAAATGCCCCACCTGCAGCACTGCCGCCTTTTGCTGCCTGACCGCGGGCCTCTCGCTGCTGCCGCTGGGTTGGCCCTGCTGCCCCTGCCGCTGCTTTTGTTCCCGCTCTCGCTGCTGCCTGCTCAATGGCTCCTCCAAAAAGGTCTGTGCACAGTCGCCGTGGCTGTCCCGAAGCATTGATTGCTGGAACCAATCCAGGCCCTGGATGCCGCCCTGCCCCTCTGCCACCTCTGTGAGCACGGGCGGCGTGAGCGGCGGCTGCCGCGACTGCGCTGCTGCTGCCGCCCTCCCCGCTCGCTGCTGCTTCTGACCGCTGCTGCGTCCGTCGTGCGCCTCACGGGAAGCAGGGACCGGCTCCTCCTGCAGGCGCCAGGCCATCCACAGCGGGAGCTGAGCTCGAGCAGGCCCACTAAGGGCTCCCACGCATTGCCAAGCCGTCCGCACAGTCACGTACAGCCTGCAGGCAGCGCACCTCGCCGCCCAGCCCCAGCCATTTCTTCACGCTTGCAAACACAGTCATGCTGGTTGCACAGTCTGATAGAATGTGACCGCTCAGACGATCAACGTCGCAATGGAGGCGAAGCCGCCATCACTAGGAGAGTCTTCATCGGCAAGGCGGTGGCGGCGGCTGAGCTGGCCGCCGCTGGATGCCGCCACCCTGCAGATGCCTGGGCCAAACTGACTTCTCTATGAGCATTTTAAGGCGCTTGTCGATTCGTCTGTCGGCTGTACAGGCGGCAATGGTTCGTACACGGGCTGCCGCGCATGCCGAGGCTGCCCTCCTGGGTGGAGAGCAGGCACCGGAGGCCAGGGCCGTCACAAAGGCAGCCGCTGGCGGCACCGAAGCTGCCAGCAACGCTGGCGCAGCGCCGCAGGCGGTCCAAGGCAGGGGCAAGAGCAGGGGAAGACAAGGGACTGGCAAGAAGGAGGTGACAGCGCGGGAACCGGCATCAGAGCCTGAGGAGGAGGCCAGCACTGACACTGAGCCAGCACCAGCAGGCACCAAGCGCCGCCGCAAGGAGGTTGTGGTGCCGGAGCCGCCGATGCTCTGCTTCTGTGCTCCCGGCCCGCCGCAGCAGCCAGCCATCCGCGTGGGCACCTCGGGCTACAGGCAGGTTGAAGCGCCTCGCTTTGCTGCATCGGGTGCCCCCCCACCTCTCGCCTATTTGCCTGCCCTCTCCCTTGCTGTTGCAGTTACAAGCACTGGCGTGCCGGCTTCTATGCGGGGCTGCCGCAGAGTCTGGAGTTTGAGCGCTACGCCAAGCAGTTTGACATGGTGCGCTGCGCTGGTCCCGGCATCCAGCTTGGCGGCATGGACCAGTTGCTGCGCATCTTTCGTGGTGCCCTCACCTAAACACAATCTGCTCTCCGCTCAGGTAGAGCTCAACGCCACGTTCTACGGCTGGTTTGACGAGGGGGTGTATGACAGCTGGCGCGACAGGTGCAGCGCCGGTCTTCGGCTGCTTCTGCCAGTGGCTGCTCCCCCTCTGCCTCCCGCTGTCGAGCAGGCGCAGCCCTCCCTGCTCAACGCCAGCCCTGCCCACCCAGCCTGCATACCTCCGGCCTGCTTTTCCGCTGCCGCAGGGCCGCGGCGGTGCGGCCCAGCTTCCAATACGCCGTCAAGGCGCCACAGCTATACACCCACCGCAAGCGCCTCATCACCGACAAAGTGTTCACCGACAGCTGGGCATGCTTCTGGGTGGGTTGAAGCAACACCTGGGAGCTTTGCAGGCTGCGGGTTCAGGCGCAGCCACAGCGAGCGCTGTGCCTGCCATCTCACCCCTGCTTTTCCGCCGGTACCTGCGCTCAGGCACGCTGCCAGCGGCTGCGCCCACACCTGGGCCCCATCCTCTTCCAGCTGCCCGCCACCTTCAAGACCACCAGCGGCAAGGGCGACAAGGCAACCAGCAACATCGACCGGCTGCGGCGCCTGGGCGAGGTGCGCCAGCAGTCCCGCCAGCAGCTGGCTTTCATGTACCATCACCAGAACAACACATCATGCCTGGGAATTGCCCTGCCCAGGCCCATGTCCGACCGCGCCGCATGCATGCTGCAGGTGCTTCCGGCTGGAGAGAAGTTTGTGTTTGAGTTCCGGGACGCCAGCTGGTACTGCGAGGAGGTGTACGAGGTGTTGAGGGAGCACGACTGCTGCCTGGCCATCACCCACTGCACAGGTTGATGGGCTGAGCACGCCGTGGACCATGGTGCATGTGGCCACAAGTAGCGCCTGCCTGCCCGTATGGCTGCCATGCCGACACAGCTTGTTTGCCTGCCGCCCCCTGCATGCACACAGATGCCCCCGGCGGCCGCAAGCTGGGCAAGGGCGGCTGGATCGGCAGCCTGGAGGCGGGGCCCAACCCACCTCCTGAGCGTTACCCGCTGCACTGCTGCACCTGGGGCATGTATGTGCGCTTCCATGGGTCGCAGGGGCAGTACGCCGGCTGCCACGGCGCCCGGGAGATGGAGCGCTGGGCCGGCTGGGCCAAGCGCTGGGCGGCGCAGGGGCGCAGCACGTGGCTGGCCTTCAACAACGACAGCGTGCCGCGCGGCCAGCAGCTGCCGGCAGCCATCTCCGATTGCCAGGACCTGTCGGCGGCGCTGCGCCGCTGCGGGGCCTGGCCCGCCTCATGAGGTGCGCAGCCATTGGTGGGGGGGGTCTTCGGGGGTTTGAGCGTGCGTCCGTTACAGCAGCGTGCAGTGTAAGAGCGTCAGCCAGTGGTTTGTGCAGCAGGTGCCAGGTGGCGCAGCGGCTGTGCCTGCCTGGCTCCCCGTCACTGGATGGAAAGTCGGCGTCAGCGTCAAAGTCAGAAGGCCTGCTTCAGCTCCCGCAGCACCCCCAGCAGCGCTGCGTCGCTGCCGTCCAGCACAGCATCCAGCTGCGGGCTGCCGTACACCCTGCGCGTGGTGGTGGGGGGGAGGCGGCGGTGCGCGCTGGGGCCACACGGTGGTGCCGGCCCCGCCCATGCGCCAAGAGCGATGCTGAAGCCCCGCCCTCGCCACCCGCCAACCACCACACAAGCGCGCTCACTTGTGCATGTTTTTGAAGGCGAAGGGGTTGGAGAGGGGCCAGGCGGAGACGGGGGACTCGCGCATGTGCTTCAGCAGCGCCTGGCGGTGCCCCTTCCTCAGGTAATTGCCCGAGGTGAAGATCTGCAGGAGGAGGTGGAGCAGGTGGAGTGCAGGTGGCGCCAGGTGGCACCAGCAGCACGGCTGTGTTATGCGGCTCGAATGCAAGGCCGCCACCTGCGCAGGCGGCAGCAGGGGAGCTGGCCAGCCGCAGGGGTTCCACGCAAGGGCCACCCGCCCCCATCTCACTGGCTGGTAGCAGCAGTCGGTGTCTGGAAGGTTGAGGCAGCCGCGCCGCTCTTTGGTGAGCTGCGGGGAGGGGCGGCGAGGGCGGCTCATTGGCAGGGACATCGCCGAACACACGCCGGCAGCGGCAGCAGCAGGCCCCAGGTGCCGGAGGAGAGCGGGGGGGGTCCGGTGCTGCGCATTCCCCACACCCCCACACCCCCATTTCACACATGTAACAGACACGCAGCCCCACACTTTCCCTCCCGCACACGCAGCCCCACACCCTCCCACAGACACGTAGCCCCACGCCCTCCCACCCGCACACAGCCTCTCACCCAAGCCATGGGGTCGGAGCTGGACCCCGCACGCCACCAGCACGACAGCACCGCCCACAGCTGCTGCGGCCGGTACCGCGCGCCCTCCTCGCCCTGCGGTACCGACACAGCGCAGCACGCGCAGCCGGCGTCCACAGCAGGGGTCAGCCCGGTGCGCACGAGCGCCAGCCAAGCCACATGCATGCGCCGGCAGAAGTGCACAAGAACGCTGCCGCTGGCGCGCAGCCCGCCACCCAGAGCCACCCGGCGGCACCACCCCGCTCCTCACGTTTGCCAGCTGGGCGTTGAAGGGCGCAAAGTCCACCTGCCCCACCCAGTGCCGCACAGAGGCGTACAGCAGCAGCACGTCGTGAAGGCCCGCGTGCCCCGCCCCCGCCGCGCGCAGCTGCGTCGCCAGGCGCCGCAGCGCGGCCCGCGCCTCCTCCAGCGTCGTCACCACTGCAAGGAGGGGGGTCACAGGGTAGGTTGTGAAAATAGGCCAAGCCTCAGGCAGCAACCGGATCAGCGCCAGGGCCTGTTGCCGCAAGTGGCGCAAGTGTGTGCAGGTGTGCAGGCTGCACAGCACAGGGAGCCCACATGCCCTCTCACCCGTGTCATCCACCATGCTGTCCAGCTGCTCCGCCAGGCTGTCAAACTCCTGCTCCCCCTCTCCCTCCACCTCCCCCTCCTTCTCCCGCCGCTCCTCAGCCACGCCGCCGCGCCCGCCGCAGTCTGCCGCGCCCGCCGCAGTGGCTCGGGGCAGCTGCGCCGCGGCCTGCACAGCGCCGCCCCCGCCGCTCGCACCCTCCGCAGCATCTGCGTGCAGAGCCGCCGCGGGCGCCGCCGCCGCCGAAGTGCCCGCCGCCGCGTTGCCTCTGGCCTGCCCCTCGTGCGGCGCACCCTCTACACCCTGCTGCTCTGCTGTTCCGGCCGCCTCGCTGCCCATCACCGCAGCCGCAAGCAGCGCGGCGCTGGAAGAGGTGCGGCTCGAGGTGGCGGCAGGCGGCAGCGGCGCCAGCATGGCCGTGGTGCGCTGCCTGCGGTCTGCGGGCGTGGCGCGGCCGCGCTGCGCCTGCCTGCGCACCGGAGGCTCCAGCGTCTCTGGCTCCAGAGCATCCTCCAGCCAGGCAGGCGGCGCTGCAGGCGGCCACGGCTCCGGCCCAGATTTCGCTCAGGGAGGACGCAAGCGACACCGGGAGGCGGGCGGGCACGCAGCGGGGCCAGGCCGGTCGCCAGGCGCTGTTTCAGCGGCCGGTGCTGGGCGGCGGGTGCAAGCCCACCTGTGTTGCGCGGCTTGCGGTTGCGCACCAGGCCATCGGCCTGCTGGCGCTCGGTGTAGGCCGCCAGGCTGGCCACCGCCCTGCGTGCAGGCACAGGGGTGGACCGCCGCCGGTCACAGCGCCGCTTGCTCGCCTCCACGGCATGCCAGCAGCTCCAGCAAACCATGAGGCGGCCTTCCAGGCATGCCCATCAACCGGTGAGGCCCAGCAGGAGCAGGGCAGGGGAGGCGCGGGCGGGCATGCGGCAAAGGCAGCGCCGAGGAAGTATGCGCAGCTGGCAGGCCTCCAGGCGGGCCTCCTTGCGTCGCCACAGCAGTGCGTCACCTGCGAGCCACAGAGGCGTCCCCCGTCCACAGAAACTCCACAGCCTCCTGCTCCGACAGCAGCTGCAGCGGCGCCACGCGCTGCCCGCTCCCCTCCTGCAGCAGGCCGCAGCGGCGGCGGCGGAGGCGGGGCAATGCTGGGGCCAGAGGGCCAGGAGGCCGGCGTGGGGCGAGGGGGTGGGGCCCGGGCAGGCATGGTCAGCCCATGCAACAGCCCGGCACCCGCACTGCAGCCGGAGGAAGTGTGCCTGCCCCACGCATGCGCTTGCTTCCCAAACGTGCCTGGTGCCTCAGGATGAGCTTGGCCTTGTCCAGCGCAAACGCCAGCGCCTGCAGCCGGCCCTTGCGCTGCTGCTCCACATCCGCCTCAATGTCCGCCACGCCGGCCCCCTCCTGCTCCTCCTCCTCATCATCGTCGCTGTCCCTCATGCCTGCAAAGCCCAGCGGGCACAGCGCATCACAGCGCGCATATCATGGCTTGAGCAAGCAGCGGGTGTGTTTTGGTCGCATTTCCGAACTCCCCTGAGCTTTGCTTGCGTTCCCAAACTCCCCACCGCTGCTGACACAATCCGGCCCTGCTGCCCTGCCACCATCGCTGCACAGGCTGCTGCTGCGGGGATGGCGCCACCCACCCGCCGCCGCTCGGCGCCCCGCCTCCTGCTGCTGCTTCAGCAAGCTGGTCAGCTCCCGAGCCTCCCGCTCAATGTACTCCAGGACGAAGGCCGCCCAGCGGCGCAGCCAGGCAGGCAGCGGCACGCCGCCCTTGCCGGGGATCCCTGCAGCAGGACGAAGGGAGGCAGAGGGTGTGGTGGGGTCAGCTCAGCGCAGGGGTGGCGTACTGGCTTCACGGGCAGACAGGGAGTGTGGTGGGGTCAGCTCAGCGCAGGGGTGCGGCTGGCTGGCCCGCCACATGGCCCAAACACAGGGTCTGATTGCCCGCAAGGGCTGGCTGCCCGCCAGCGCCAGAGCATGCCAGAGCATGCGGCACAGCGTGCATGCTGCCCGTCCCCCTCACCGTCTGTCAGGATCCAGCTCTTGAAGCCGTGCCGCCTCAGGCACGCCTCCTCCTCCTCACTCGGCTCCGGCTGCGCCGCGGCCCGCAGCAGCAGCTGGCAGCGCTCCAGGAAGGTGTGGTGGGCCGACAGGTACTGCGCCAGGGTGGCGCCAGGCGGGACAGCGGGCGCCAGCAGGGCCAAGTCGGGGTGCTTACTGCGCATGTGCTCCCGCGCCCTGCCCACCTACCCAGCGATCCACCCACCCCAGAAAACACCGCCTCCTTGCCTTGCCCACCTCGCCCACCCACCCGCCCAGCAGCCAGCAGCCCCCCACCTGGTGCAGCGGGTCGCTGGAATCGGCCTTGAGGCAGAACATGAAGGAGCCGCGGCAGGCGGCGCAGCCGCACAGGCACACCGCGTTCTGGAACTCGCGCTCGCTCTCTGCGGCAGCCGGGGGCGCGGCGACGAGGTGGCAGGTAAGGTGGCAGGTGAGGTGGCAGGTGAGCGGTGGCGCCTCCCACACTTGCTGCCATCATGCCAGGGTGGGTGGAGTGGTGAGGGGTTGCAGGTGATATTGAAATGCAGTAACTGCAGGAACCCCAGTGCAGCCGCCTCCAAAGCCGAAGACGGTCAGGGCTTGCGGGCTGCCAGCCACATGCCGCACTCCTCCCCACCCACCCGTCTGCAGCGCCCAATCCAGGGTCAGCTCCTGCCCCGCCGCCACGGGCTGGGTGGTCCACACGCCTGCAGGCAGGGCCAGGCCAGGGAGGCGTCAGGGTGAGGTGAGGAGCGGCTTTAGGGTTCTTGCCTGAAGACGGCCAGGGATGCAACCAGGCTGGGATGGCCTGCAGCAGCCCCGCCCTGCCGCATCACCATCACCCAGCCCAGGCGCCGCGCTAGGCGCAGCCCAAGGCCTGGCCCCAGCAAGCGCTTACCCAGCCGCACACGCGCCTACCCAGCCACCCAAGCGCATACCCACCCAGCCACTGAAGCGCCTACCCACCCAGCCAGACACCCACACCCACCAATGGTGATGCGCCCTCCCGCCACCATGGGCACCGTCTTGCAGTTGGGCTCGCAGCTGTGGCACAACCTGCTGGTGAAGTTGCCCTTGTCGGCGGCCTGCGGCGCACGCCACGAAGGGGAGGCAGGCAGCGCCAGGAGTCAGGAGCCAGCGGCGGTTGGCACACGGGCCGCTGGCAAATCCCCCCACGCCGCAGCTTCGCGGGTGGCGGCGCAGGGGCAGGGAGCCGCCTGCAGAGTGAAACAGCCCTGCAGGTACAGCATCCCTCCTGCCTCACATTCACAAACATCACGTCAAAGCCGTGCACATCCGCCGCCGGGCGCTCCATGGCGATGTTGAAAAACTCGTCTGAGGCCCCCAGGCGCAGCAGGTTGCGCTTGCTGGAGGCCACCGCGCCTCGCCCGGCTGCAGGCGGCGGCGCCGGGCAGGGGGCGGCAGGCATGGGTGACGCGGCGCGCGCTGGTGCCGGGACGCAAGCCGGGCAGGCAGCCGAGCAGGCAGGCAGGTGGGCAGGCAACGCGGGCATTGGCAGCGCGGCGGCGCGGCGGGCGCAGGCGCCGCTTACCGGCGCGGGAGTCCCGCTCAAACCACCGCCAGGCCGAGTAGAGCTCTCCCAGGTACTCCGCCACAAAGGCGCCAGCTGGCAGGCCGCCCGCGCGCAGCAGCACCACGCCCTCTCCCTGCGCCAGGCATGGACAGCGCAGGCGGGAGGAGGAGGGGGCGCGCCAGCCGTCACGGCACGGTCGGCGGCGAAGGTGCAGCAGCGGCCGACGCGTGCGGCGGATGCGCAGGCCAGGCGGTACCGTTGCACCCCGGAAGCTAGCCGACTCTTGCACCACTGCAGCCTGCCAGCCCTCCCACGCGTGCGCCCCGCGGGCCGCCCATGCAGCGAGCCACCACGCGACCCAAACAAAACAAACAAACCGCCAATGTACCCCTTGAGGGCACCCAGTCGTGTACTGCAGGCGGTACCAGCCCACCTTGGGGTGCACCCTGAACCACTCGCGGTCCTCGGCAGCGCAGGGCAGGCAGCCATTGTGGAACGCCTCTGCAGGCAGGCAGACCAGGCAGGCAGGCGGCAGGTGGGTGCGCGGGCCAGGCAAGAAGGCAGGCAGGCAGGCAGGCAGCCAGGTGATAGGGCCATGGTCGGGTTATGGGCCGGCAGGGGAGCCGTAGCTAGGCGCAAGTCGACACAGAGTCTCGGCCGGCAGCTTGGCCAGGGCGAGCCGCCGCACCTATGCCCTGCACAGCCCCCAGCAGCGCGGCGGCCGCGGCGGCCATGGCCTGGCCGCCCTCGCAGGTGGAGGTGGCCAGCTGCTTCAAGGCAGGCATGATGTCCCTGGCGCACGCGGCGGGGGAGGGTGGTGTGGTGGTGGTGGGGTGGGGGGGAGGGAGATGGCACAGGTTCAGTAACGCGTGTGCGACAACACACGGCCGGCAGGACTGATTCCGGCAAACTGAGTGAGCGCATGGCGCGCACACACGCCCGCCCCGGCATCAGCATGCAACACCGCGCACTGCCCCCTCCCTCACACCCACCAGCCGCCTGCGCCGCGGCGGTTGAGGGCGGGCAGCAGGTGGTTGTCTATGAAGCGGGTGCGCGCCTCGTCCAGCTGATCGGTGTTGGGCGCCCCCAGCTCGCTGCACCGCGCCAGCACCTCCCAGATGTTCCTGCCCATGGGGCGGGGCAGAATGGAGGGGCAGGCAGGCCAGGCAGCCGTCAGCGCCGACACTGGGCCTGGGCTGCGGCACATCGCTGCTGCCAGGCTGGATGGGCAGGCAAGCAGGCAACTCTGCAGCCGCTGTGGATGCGAGTCTGGTTGGTAGGGCAGGCAGGAAGGCAGGCAGGCAGGCGTTGCTGGCGGCGCTCCCAGGCTGCGCCTCACTTGCGGGTGAATCTGTCGATGCCCCACACCGGCCGCACATCCACCTCCCCCGACGCCAGCCCCTGGGGCACCTCGCCCAGCACAAGCAGCTCGTCGCTGCCGTCGCCCACCGCGCCTGCACGCGCGGGCGGGCAGGGCGGCGCCGCCGTCGGCTAAGGCTGCACAGCTCTAAGCCTGCACAGCGCGCCGCGCAAGCTGCACACACGCAGGCCACTCGCTGCGCGCGGCAGCCAGGGCAGGCACCACTGACACCACTGACCTTCCGGCCCCGGCTCCAGGCTGCTGGCCAGCTTGGCTGGCAGCGCCGCCACATCCACCTCCTCCCCACAGTCCTCTGCCACCACAAAGCCGGCAACCTCCTCCAGCGCAGTCTCCTCAAAGGGCTGCCGCCGCCACAGGCCCTGCAGCAGACGCGGCGCGGCTGCCATCGGCGGCGCTGTTGCCTAGCTTGGCTGCTCTGCCTGCTGTGCCTGCTGTGCCTGCTCGCTCATCACTGGCATCACTGGCAAAACAGCCGGGCAGGAATCCCACAGGTGGCGCACCACACCGCCGCCAACCCACCGGCATGTAAGGCTCTTCATTGTTCTTGAGGTGCCTCGCTATCTGCCTGCACACGGCACCAGCCACGCACGCAGCAGGCTTGCCAGGGAAGGGCAGAGTGCTGGAGGTGCGCTGCACGGATGTTCCAAAAACAGCATGCACAGGCGCCGGGCAGGGCAAGGGCAAGCGGGCGTCAATGTTAAGTGGCGGGCGGCGCCCTCACTTGATGTCTGGGTCGATCACTAGCTGCTCCAGCGGGGAAGCGGCGCGCCTGCATGCAGCAGCACACATGCGTGCCGGGTGGGCAGGGGCGTCGCAGCGCAACTGAAGCAGCGCAAGCCCCATGGCTGGCGTGCGTAGCACGCGCATGCGGCGCCTGAAAGCTGATGCATGCATGGCTGAGGATGGTGGCGCCAAGCCAGCGCCGTGCCGCGCAGCGCACCCACCCGTTGGCGGCCTTCATGCGCTTGGCTGGCGCCGCCCCCTGGGCCGCCTTCTCAGCTGACGCAAACGGGCGTCCCCGCCGCTTCTTCCCCTTGCCGACGCCCTCGCCCGCCGAGCCCGGCTGCGCCGCGGCCGCGGCCACTGCCGCCGCCGCCGACTGCGCCGCCGCCACCTGCCACTCTTGCATCAGCTGCAGGCTGGGCGGGTTGCCCTGCTCGGTCATGGCCTGCGCGGCGGCCATGTACTGCTGCTGTGCCGCCACAAAGTGCTGCTGGAACAGCTGCAGCTGCTGCTGCTGCTCCAGGGACGCTGGCGCCGACGCCGCCGCAGCCGACGCGGCTGCAGCCTTGTCTGCCTTGCCCACCCTGCGGTGGGCCGCCGCCGCGGCCCCAGCCAGAGCCGCAGCCGCCACCTGCTCCTCCAGCCGCTCCTTCTGCTCCTCGTCTGCAGCCGCCGCCGCAGCAGCAGCTGCAGCCGCGCTGCTGTCCGCGCCACCGGGCGCCAGCTCATCATCCGGCTTCTCCACCGCACGCTTGCGCCGCACCACCTTCACCGCCTGCACGTTGACGGTGGCTGCGGCCAGCCAACAGGAGGCAGGCAGGGAGGAGAGTGGGATTGGCCGCAACGCCCGGCAGCGCGCCATCGCGAGCAGTCAGGCACCAGCCAAGCCACCCTAGGCACCCAGCCAAGCCGCCCTGCCGCCACCCGTGCACCACCTGGCCGCCGCTCACCCGACGTCACCACCTCCACCCCCCTCTCCGGCACCACCAGCGTCAGCGTGTAGCCCACGCCGCACTGCGCCTTGAGGAGCGCCAGCTCAGCCATCACCGCTTCCAGCCGCAGGTCGTACACCTGGCAGCGGGGGTGGGGCGGCGGGTGTGGTAGTGATAAAAAAGATGGCAACAAATGAGGGGAGCCAGTTGGCAGCCGAGGAAAGCAAGAAGCTCGGCAGGGTGCGTGCAATGAGCAGCACGGCGCAGCACGGCGCAGCAAGGGCCAGGCCCAGGCCCAAATGCTGGTTTACATTGCTGCCAAGGCTGCAGCCCCCCCACCTGCTGCCGCCGCTCCTCGCTCTCGATGAAGGTCGACTCCGCCAGCTTGGGCCGCCGCGCCCGCCGCTTGCCAGAGGTGCCCGCGGCGGGGGCGTCCTCGCCGACGTCGCCGGTGCCCAGCGCCGGCGCCGGCAGCAGAGCCAGCTCGCCGAGAGCCCAGGCATCTGTGGCGGCGGCAGGAGGAGGGGTGAGCTCCGCCGGAGCAGCCGGGGCTGCCGCCGCGGCGCCGGCGCCGCCCGCCGGCTGCGCCTTGGGCTGCCGCGGCTTCTTGGGCTGCTTCGGGGGGTGGATGCGGGGCCTGCCTCGCTTGGGCTGCACGCCCGCCGGCCGCAGGCCCGCGGCATACTGCTGCATGGCGGCGGCGGCCGCCGGTGGCGCTGCCGCAGCTGCCGGCGCTTGCTCCGCCTGCTGCGCCTGCTGCGCCTGCTGCGG